TGTCCGCCAAAAGGAAATGTAACAAACATACAACAACATCGAAGCAGCTCATCAAAGACACAGGTAGGCGGGTCAACCTGTACATTGACAAAAGATCATGTTACTATAACTAACGACTTACAGAGGAACACACAATCTCATTAAAATCAGATCTCAGTTCTCGCTACCGCTAAACAATGATCTGAGGACATCCCATTAGGGGTCACGTCAGAACGACCTTTCATCCGACCAATCAGAGTGTCGCTTACCAGATCATGAAAGTGACAGTCGGAATGTGATTTCTCATCATTGGGTCCCGTCCAAGATTTGAACCTACACTACCAGAGTGAGGCACCTAATCGCCAGCACAAAGTCAGCGATCTAGCCCACTCAGCCACCGAGGTTTCCACAGGGGGTACACAAAGTATGTGATCTAGGCTACCAGTTGTCAGACTTGCATTTTTGTGGAAGCCTCAGTGGTTGAGTGGGTTGGATCACTGACTTTGTGTACCAGTGATTAGGTGCCTCGCTCTGGCTGAGTGGGTTAGATCACTGACTTTGTGTACCAGCGATTAGGTGCCTTACTCTGGCAGTGTGGGTTAGATCGCTAACGTTGTGTGCTGGCAATTAGGTGCCTTACTCTGGCAGTGTGGGTTAGATCGCTAACGTTGTGTGCTGGCGATTAGGTGCCTTACTCTGGCAGTGTGGGTTAGATCGCTAACGTTGTGTGCTGGCGATTAGGTGCCTTACTCTGGCAGTGTGGGTTAGATCGCTAACGTTGTGTGCTGGCGATTAGGTGCCTCACTCTGGTTGAGTGGGTTAGATCGCTAACGTTGTGTGCTGGCGATTAGGTGCCTCACTCTGGCCGAGTGGGTTAGATCGCTAACGTTGTGTACCAGCGATTAGGTGCCACACTCTGGCTGAGTGGGTTAGATCGCTGACTTTGTGTACCAGCGATTAGGTGCCTCACTCTGGCTGAGTGGGTTAGATCGCTGACTTTGTGTACCAGCGATTAGGTGCCTCACTCTGCCTGAGTGGGTTTGAATCCCGGATGAGACTCAACCCCAAAAAGTACTAGGATCTGTACCTTACTCAGAAAGTGTTATCCCAAATATAACATTAGTTACATTTGACCACTTTCTAATGGCATTGTGTGTTCAGAACACAGTATAGTCCTTTTTTAAAATTATTTTGTTTTATTTTATATTTGTAACAATTTCAAAGTGTAAGCACTTGTGTTTTGTGCTACGTGGTACGTCACTACCCTATTGACTGTGATGAACTAGTTCTGTTTCGGTATCCTATTGTCCTTGACTCTGGTAAATATATATATCATTCAACATGAAGTCCCAAACAAGTCGGGTGACATTTGGCCACTAATTCCTTCATGGCTGTGACATATAATAGACGTATTCAGCTGGTTGTTACATACGTGTAAATAGTGCTTGCGTAGGTGTTGTGATTGTCGATAATGAGGAAATTATACATATAGTTCCAACTGTGCCCTTGGTTTCCGTGGACTTGTCCTTTCCACGAGGACAGTTAATTTCATCATCAGAGTAAAAATACGGCAGTAATGGGTTTTGTGCGTATCAGCAAATATTAAACGCTGAGAATTGCACTTGAGTGAAAACAAAATTGACGTTCATGTCACAACACTGCGTTGTGGGATTTTCCAGCAGTTTGAAATGATGTTTTCAACGCAATCATGTTACTAAGTCAAATTGGACAGAATTATGTTTGAATTATTGCCTTCGCTTTCTGGGAAACTCCACTTAGAATTCCATTTGATGTGGCCAGTGTTTTTAAGCTTCGAGATGAATTTGTCCAGGATCACCATGTCAGCTTTTTCAAAGGAGGATTGAGTGCACATTGCCTGGACAAGAAGCCCATCACTAGAATTCATTTCTTTGATCTTTGTTCAAGTGTGTGGGGATCATTTCAATTTCTGCAAATTATTTTGACTTAAATGGGTTTTCATCAGTACATTTGTGTGAAAATGGTATAGTTTGTTTCTTTTGTTACTTTAGCCGGATGGAGACCAGCTGACCTATTGTTGGGTTTGGGGATCCAATGGGCCAGCTCTCCTTCATAATTTTTTTTCACATTTTTGACATCAGGTGAAGAAACAATTTGACCAGTGCATCTGCATTCCACAAATTTTAATTATATTTTTTTCAATTATCAGTTGGCACTAACTCACTCTGTGCATCATGTTACTTTCAAGCAGCTCTCTCGGCTCCTTCTTCAATGAGTATAGGTCTTCAGCAACCCATGCTGGCTGTAAAAGGTGGCTATGCTTGTCGAAAGAGGCAACTAACGGGATCGGGTGGTCAGGCTCGCTGACTTGGTTCATGCACGTCATTGTATCCTGATTGCGTGGATCGATGCTCATGATGTCAATCACTGGATTGTCTGGTCCAGACTCGATTATGTACAGACCGCTGTCATATAGCTGGAATATTGCTGAGCGCGGCATTAAACAACAAACAAACAAACAATGAGGATCAGACCCGTTGAGCCAGTTTGGGCATGATTTGTTTTGAACATTGCATTTAGATTAACTACATCCTATTCGGGATTCGACCGCCTCCGAGGTCTAGTGGTAGAGCATCCATCCGGAAGGCGGAAGGTCCGGGGTTTGACGTTAAAAGATGGTACTTGTTGTTACCCTGCCTGGCACTCGGCATTAAGGGGCTAAAACAAGGACTGGTCGGCTTGGAGTCAGTAAACTGTGTCTGAGTGGGGTATTCATGTTAAACTGCGGCATGGTATCTCAGTAAGCTAGCACTATAAATCGGCATCAGTCCGGACTTGTACAAGCAACCACACAAACACACACACACACATCGCTATATAAGTGCAATAATCTTGGACGCGATGTTAAACCCAATTTCACCTCACCTCACCTATTCGGGATTCAAGAATGGAAGCAGGCCTTTATCAACACATGCAACAGTGACAATATGTGTACTGACATTTTTAATTCTAGGGCATGGTGCTTAATGCTGCTACCACATATCTGACCCTTTGTATTGCCAGGTTTTTTCTCTTGTAGATCTAAAACTGTGTTAAATATGAAATATCTATCATGCATTGATCTTGTGTTGTCATTTACTGATTTCACAGTGGAGTTCTGTGTTTATTGATTTCTTGTTTAACCCCTCGGTTTCAGTTTGGAAATCACCCTGTAACAGTAGATGCTCAAATTATGATAATTTATAATAATAATAATAATAATAATAATAATAATAATAGGCCATTTATATTGCGCATATTGCCAAACCACTCAGGGGCATACTCAAAGCGCTATTATTACCCCGGTCACTGGATCAGTGTGCACTCAGGAATCATTCTCAGCTCCCTGGGGAGTATACAACCCAAGCTGCCTGTCAGGCGCTAGAAGGTTAACAACCACATTGCCATCTCATTCTACCGGGTACCCATTCACTGCTGGGTGAACAGAGGCACAGTTCGAACAAAGTCACTTGTCCAAGGAGAGGCCACATGTCTTACATGTGCTTCAGTGTGGGGCAGGACCAACGCCCCAGTAACTCTCAGTAGCCAAGGTGCCGAAACGTGATCACCCGACCAAGGACTCTCCGCAACCAAAGTCGCTTAACTTCACCAAATTGTTGCATGTGCACTTTGCAGTGTGAGCTGTGCACAGGACTACATGCACATCTTCAACACTCCTCTTTTTCTATAACTGAATATAGGTGAGCTTCTGTACCTCTAGTACTCTGGTTCATTTTCAATCTCATTATAATAAGACCTTAGTTCTAGCTACCACTTAGCAAAGATCATTACGGGTCCTGTCAGACCAACCTTTCGTGAACTTTGACCGAGTAATGCAATGACTGACAAGAAGTCGACATTAGCCAATCAGAAGGCAGCTTTCTCGTGCCTTATGGTACTAGTTTTAAACTGGCGACTACGCTTCGAAACAAATTTTGATAAATATCTCGATTAAAATTTTGAAACTGAACAAAAGAACATTGTTGAATGGCTAATAGATTCCCTAGATTGTATGGATTCAGTCATTGAGCCCATAACTGTTTTTCGGAATACCCTGTGTTAAATGTTTTGGAGGTTGCATGATAAGAAAACACATTCTGATTCTCACTTTCATGATCTGGTAAGCTACGTTCTGATTGGTCGGATGAAATGTCGTTCTGACATGACCTGTAATGGGATGTCCTCAGATCTTTGTTTAGTGGTAGTGAGAACTAAGATCTGATTTTAATGAGATTGGTTCATTTTCACATCAACCAAATGTGTTTCTTCACATCAAGTACAGCTGATCAGTGAAGAAGTGTGACACCCTAATAATCCCCCTATGTTGAAGATTGTTTCTAAACATGCAAGCAGCCAGGATGCTAAATACCTTCTTGTTGACAATATATCAAGTTTCATATAGCCGGCATTACAATCACTTGTAAACACTTGTAAATCACATTAAATGAGATGGACCGCACCCCAAATCAATGGAGATAATCCCAACTGACCACAAGTCAGAGTGCTTCTGGAAGAAGCTTGGGTAGTCTTTTCATGTGTTGGGCAGATATTAACTGGTATTAACTTATTGATCCTTCTGAATCTGTCCATTGTGATCACTGGTTTATGTTTCCTAGGTAGATAGTACTTGCATTACATGAATTATTAATGTCAGTCAGTAACAGTTGTTTCGATGCTTTTAGTTACAGCTAGTGGTCAGGCAAATAGTTTTTCTACACTCAAACCCAGTTACAGTGGCTCCAAAACACCCTGCTCCCTCCTGTGTTTAATGTAAATAATGTAATATACATATTTGAATTATAAAGTATGAATTACAAATTGTAATTTAATAGTAAGTTATGAGTGTAAATAGTTTTAAAGGTTGTAAATAACCTATTGGAAGGTTAAAGAAGTGAATTTATGAATAACAAAGAGATGTAGGTGGGAGGTGGGACAGATGGAGTTGGGACAGATGGAGTTGGGACAGATGGAGATGGAACAAATTAAGGTGGGAGGTGGGACAGATGGAGGTGGGACAGATGGAGGTGGGACAGATGGTGGTCGAACAGATGGAGGTGGAACAGATGGAGGTAGGACAGATGGAGATGGAACAGATGGTGGTCGAACAGATGGAGATGGGACAGATGGAGGTGAGACAGATGGAGGTGGGACAGATGGAGGTCGAACAGATGGAGATGGGACAGATGGAGATGGGACAGATGGAGGTGGGACAGATGGAGATGGGACAGATGGAGGTGGGACAGATGGAGATGGGAAAGATGGAGGTGGAACAGATTGAGTTGGGACAGATGAAAGTGGGACAGATGGAGATGGAACAGATGAAGGTGGGACAGATGGAGATGGAACAGATGGTGGTCGAACAGATGGAGATGGAACAGATGGAGGTAGGACAGATGGAGATGGAACAGATGGTGGTCGAACAGATGGAGGTGGAACAGATGGAGGTAGGACAGATGGAGATGGAACAGATGGTGGTCGAACAGATGGAGATGGGACAGATGGAGGTGGGACAGATGGAGATGGGACAGATGGAGGTGGAACAGATGGAGGTGGGACAGATGGAGATGGGACAGATGGAGATGGGACAGATGGTGGTCGAACAGATGGAGATGGGACAGATGGTCGTGGGACAGATGGAGATGGGACAGATGGAGATGGAACAGATGGTGGAGGAACAGATGGAGGTGGGACAGATGGAGATGGGACAGATGGAGGTGGAACAGATGGAGGTGGGACAGATGGAGATGGAACAGATGGAGGTGGAACAGATGGAGATGGAACAGATGGTGGTCGAACAGATGGAGATGGGACAGATGGAGGTGGGACAGATGGAGATGGGACAGATGGAGGTGGAACAGATGGAGGTGGGACAGATGGAGATGGGACAGATGGAGATGGGACAGATGGTGGTCGAACAGATGGAGATGGGACAGATGGTCGTGGGACAGATGGAGATGGGACAGATGGAGATGGAACAGATGGTGGAGGAACAGATGGAGGTGGGACAGATGGAGATGGGACAGATGGAGGTGGAACAGATGGAGGTGGGACAGATGGAGATGGAACAGATGGTGGTGGGACAGATGGAGGTGGGACAGATGGAGGTGGGACAGATGGAGGTGGAACAGATGGTGGTGGAACAGATGGTGGTCGAACAGATGGAGGTGGGACAGATGGAGATGGGACAGATGGAGATGGAACAGATGGAGGTGGGACAGATGGAGATGGAACAGATTGAGATGGAACAGATGGAGATGGAACAGATGGAGGTGGGACAGATGGAGATGGAACAGATGGAGATGGGACAGATGTGGTGGAACAGATGGAGATGGAACAGATGGAGATGGGACAGATGAAAGTGGGACAGATGGAGGTGGGACAGATGGAGGTGGGACAGATGGAGGTGGGACAGATGGAGATGGGACAGATGGAGATGGGACAGATGGAGGTGGGACAGATGGAGGTGGGACAGATGGAGGTGGGACAGATGGAGATGGGACAGATGGAGATGAAACAGATGGTGGTGGAACAGATGGAGATGGAACAGATGAAAGTGGGACAGATGGAGGTGGGACAGATGGAGATGGGACAGATGGAGATGGAACAGATGGTGGTGGAACAGATGGAGATGGAACAGATGGAGATGGGACAGATGGAGATGGGACAGATGGAGATGGGACAGATGGAGATGGGACAGATGAAAGTGGGACAGATGGAGGTGGGACAGATGGAGATGGGACAGATGGAGGTGGGAGGTGGGAGGTGGGACAGATGGTGGTGGGACAGATGGAGGTGGGACAGATGGAGGTGGGACAGATGGAGGTGGAACAGATGGTGGTGGAACAGATGGTGGTCGAACAGATGGAGGTGGGACAGATGGAGATGGGACAGATGGAGATGGAACAGATGGAGGTGGGACAGATGGAGATGGAACAGATTGAGATGGAACAGATGGAGATGGAACAGATGGAGGTGGGACAGATGGAGATGGAACAGATGGAGATGGGACAGATGTGGTGGAACAGATGGAGATGGAACAGATGGAGATGGGACAGATGAAAGTGGGACAGATGGAGGTGGGACAGATGGAGGTGGGACAGATGGAGGTGGGACAGATGGAGATGGGACAGATGGAGATGGGACAGATGGAGGTGGGACAGATGGAGGTGGGACAGATGGAGGTGGGACAGATGGAGATGGGACAGATGGAGATGAAACAGATGGTGGTGGAACAGATGGAGATGGAACAGATGAAAGTGGGACAGATGGAGGTGGGACAGATGGAGATGGGACAGATGGAGATGGAACAGATGGTGGTGGAACAGATGGAGATGGAACAGATGGAGATGGGACAGATGGAGATGGGACAGATGGAGATGGGACAGATGGAGATGGGACAGATGAAAGTGGGACAGATGGAGGTGGGACAGATGGAGATGGGACAGATGGAGGTGGGAGGTGGGAGGTGGGACAGATGGGGGTGGGACAGATGGAGGTGGGACAGATGGAGGTGGGACAGATGGAGGTGGGAGGTGGGACAGATGGAGGTGGAAGGTGGGACAGATGAAAGTGGGACAGATGGAGGTGGGAGGTGGGACAGATGGAGATTGGACAGATGGTGGTGGGACAGATGGAGGTGGGACAGATGGAGATGGGACAGATGGAGGTGGGACAGATGGAGGTGGGACAGATGGAGATGGGACAGATGGAGATGGGACAGATGGAGATGGGACAGATGGAGGTGGGACAGATGGAGGTGGGACAGATGGAGGTGGGACAGATGGAGGTGGGAGGTGGGACAGATGGAGATGGGACAGATGGAGGTGGGACAGATGGAGGTGGGACAGATGGAGATGGGACAGATGGAGATGGGACAGATGGAGGTGGGACAGATGGAGGTGGGACAGATGGAGGTGGGACAGATGGAGGTGGGAGGTGGGACAGATGGAGATGGGACAGATGGAGGTGGGACAGATGGAGGTGGGACAGATGGAGATAGGACAGATGGAGATGGGACAGATGGAGGTGGGACAGATGGAGGTGGGACAGATGGAGGTGGGACAGATGGAGGTGGGAGGTGGGACAGATGGAGATGGGACAGATGGAGGTGGGACAGATGGAGGTGGGACAGATGGAGATTGGACAGATGGAGGTGGGACAGATGGAGGTGGGAGGTGGGACAGATGGAGGTGGGGCAGATGGAGGTGGGGCAGATAGAGTTGGGACTGATGTAGGTGTTTTTGTGTTGTATTTTTAGCTCCAAGGGAGAGGAAGGAAGCAGTGAGTAAGCTGCCCAGTTGCCATGAGTCAACGCGTGCTTGTGTGAATCATGTTCACTACTACCAGATGTGATTCTTCTATCCTTTACATCATATTACTTTCTTTAATATCAAAGTTCCAGATTTCCTTCTGAGAAGGACAGGACATCCAACACAACATTCTCTGACAGGACACCCAACACAACATTCTCTGACAGGACACCCAACACAACATTCTCTGACAGGACACCCAACACAACATTCTCTGATAGGACACCCAACACAACATTCTGTGACAGGACACCCAACACAACATTCTCTGATAGGACACCCAACACAACATTCTGTGACAGGACACCCAACACAACATTCTGTGACAGGACACCCAACACAACATTCTCTGACAGGACACCCAACACAACATTCTCTGACAGGACACCCTACACATCATTCTCTGACAGGACACCCAAAACAACATTTTTTGACAGGACACCCAACACAACATTCTGTGACAGGACACCCAACACAACATTCTCTGACAGGACACCCAACACAACATTTTCTGACAGAATACCCAACACAACATTTTCTGACAGGACACCCAACACAACAATTTCTGACAGGACACCCAACACAACATTTTCTGACAGGACACCCAACACAACATTCTCTGACAGGACACCCTATACAACATTCTCTGACAGGACACCCTATACAACATTCTCTGACAGGACACCCAACACGATATTTTCTAACAGGACACCCAACAGAACATTCTCTGACAGGACACCCAACACAACATTCTTTGACAGGACACCCAACACAACATTTTCTGACAGGACACCCAACACACCATTCTCTTTAAGGACACAAAAAACAACATTCTCTGACAGGACACCCACCACAACAATCTCTGACAGGACACCCAACACACCATTCTCTGACAGGACACCCAACACAACATTCTCTGACACGACACCCAACACAACATTCTCTGACAGGACACCCAACACAACATTCTCTGACAGGACACCAAACACAACATTCTGTGACAGTACACCCGAAACAACATTCTCTGACAGGACACCCAACACAACATTCTCTGACAGGACACCCAACACAACATTCTCTGACAGGACACCCAACACAACATTCTCTGACAGGACACCCTACACAACATTCTCTGACAGGACACCAAACACACCATTCTCTGACAGGACACCAAACACACCATTCTCTGACAGGACACACAACACAACATTATCTGACAGGACACCCAACACAACATTCTCTGACAGGACACCCAACACAACATTCTCTGACAGGACACCCAACACAACAATCTCTGACAGGACACCCAACACAACATTCTTTGACAGGACACCCAACACACCATTCTCTGAAAGGACACCCAACACAACATTCTGTGACAGGACACCCAACACAACATTCTCTGACAGGACACCCAACACAACATTCTCTGACAGGACACCCAACACAACATTCTCTGACAGGACACCCAACACAACATTCTCTGACAGGACACCCAACACAACATTTTCTGACAGGACACCAAACACAACATTCTGTGACAGTACACCCGAAACAACATTCTCTGACAGGACACCCAACACAACATTCTCTGACAGGACACCCAACACAACACTCTCTGACAGGACACCCAACACAACACTCTCTGACAGGACACCCAACACAACATTCTCTGACAGGACACCCAACACAACATTCTCTGACAGGACACCCAACACTACACTCTCTGACAGGACACCCAACACAACACTCTCTGACAGGACACCCAACACAACATTCTCTGACAGGACACCCAACACAACATTCTCTGACAGGACACTCAACACAACATTCTCTGACAGGACACCCAACACAACATTTTCAGACAGGACACCCAACACAACATTCTCTCTCAGGACACCCAACACAACATTCTCTCTCAGGACACCCAACACAACATTCTCTGACAGGACACCCAACACTACATTCTCTCTCAGGACACCAAACACAACATTCTCTGACAGGACACCCAAAATAACATTCTCTGACAGGACACCCTACACAACATTCTCTGACAGGACACCAAACACAACATTCTCTGACAGGACACCCAACACAACATTCTCTGACAGGACACCAAACACAACATTCTCTGACAGGCTGGAATGCACTCCATGCTACTTACAAGTGCACATCAACAGGTGTCGAGTACATGGATGAAAGTGCAACTTATCTGTCAGTATCAGTCAGCCTCCTCCTACCTTTGATAAAACATGTTCCCTTGGATAACCTACAGCTTCTCATTGAAATCACAAGGATATACATCAATGGCAACCTGCTTGCTGTATGTCTTTGCCTCAGCTGATGGAAGAGAGCTACATCTTGCCAGCTGTCAGCTTCATGTTCTAAAGGACTACAAACTCACGTCACCTGGCAAGGCTCTCATGCTCAACTCTCAGGGTGGCCGTGTTGAATGAGGGCACATACATGGATTCCCTGGGCAGACTACACACTTGAAGTGACAGAGTGCTGGGGTCGGGAGTATGCTTTAATACTTTGGATTAAAAAGTTTAAAAGGGCGAAGAGTTTGCTCACCAATGAGGAAATGTAGATTCTTAGGGTTTGGGAAATCTGTAACAGTTAGGGAAGCAAGAACTGGGTTGTCATTCTCTGGCCGTATGGGAAATCAAAGGATCCACACTTAGGTGACTGCAGTGTGGATTGGATGGACACAACAGGTGCTGGAGATAGTCGGAACTGGACATGCACCTCGCTATATAAGTGCAATAATCTTGAACGCGACGTCAAACCCATTTTCACCTCACCTCACCTCACAAATCCATGAATTTAGAAAACACTCTATTCTGATTGGAGGTTTCAAATCACAATAACCACATCTGATTGAAATTTCTGATTTGACGGTCACATCACAACACCATAAATATTGAAACCCATAATCGTCATTTTATTAGAGGTATCAAATCACAATAACCATCTCTGATAGAAATAATTACATTTGACTTCCACATCACAAAAGCATGAATTTGGTAAAAAAAACTGATTTGATTGGAGGTTTCAAATAAAGAATAACCACCACTGATTAAATAGCTGATTTAACGGCTGCACCATTGACCCACTGGTAGACTGGCCCAGTCCCTGCTTGAAGCCTCTCTTATATTCACTGTTGTTTAGTCGTGTCTATAGATAGCTGAATTCAACCACAGCTATCAACTTCTCAACTGACCACCCAGGCGTCCCCATCAAGGAGGCCTACAAATAACAGGGTATCTCTGTACAAACATTCATGAACTTTGTTCCACATTCTATCTGGTGATGCAGCAGAGCTGTAGCTGTCCACACTGCCATGGTGGAGCTGCTGAAATAGTCATGAAGCTTTTGAGATGGTCCCTGTATGTCGGTGTTTACATTTCCAAGGAGCTCCACCGGTATGTGAGATAAGTCAAGCTGCTTCCCAGAAACGCTGCCTGCTCGACTACCAGACCGAGACTCCTACCTATTCCACCACCACTAGGGGATCCTTGGCAGTCGTTAATTAAAGTATGATGCGCTTATAAAACAATTATGTGAATTCAGTGTCCGCCTTAGGTTATTTACAGTTTGTTATTTGTTTTAACGCCTCAATATTCAAGCTTTATGACAGCACTCTGTAAATAATCCAGCTATATGACAGCATTCTGTAAATAATTGAGTCTAGACCACACAATCCAGTTTTTTTATTGACATCTTGAAATTGGGATACGATGACATGCA